ATATATATATATATTAAAATACGAAATATTCAACATTTTTATAGCTACGTATTCGAGCAACTCTCCTCTATCTTTTACAACAAATTCTAACTGCTTATCGTTTCCAATTTTCACGTAACATTTGTTTCTTTAAAAAATTCAGTCGTTTTTAGAAAAACTCGTGTTTTTCGAAAACTGAGGGTGACCCAGCAAGTTGGTTTTCAGATTTGTATTTAGGGCAACAAGTTCTATAAGAATCACCTAGTAGCTATCACAAAACACGAAAAAAGCTGAAATTTGTTAGACCGTGTTATTGGTAAACTATGAATTTTGTACCACCTGTACATTAAATTAGAATACAATAAATAAAACATGCAAGACAATTTAATCACAGTAATTTATTTTCTTATACTCTTTGCATTTCGTTTCATCCCTTCATTTCTTAACTTAATACGTATGGTATCCCATAACTGGTGGTACCAGCGAGTAAGAGATTTTACATGAAAAACTAAATCGAAAATGTAAGATACAAGTTTTTCATATGAAACTTTGTTTTCGAGAAAAATAAGGTTGAAAATTTGTCACGTGCGTGCACTTGATCCAATTTCAATTCTACCGATTTCACTATCTTAATCTGGACACTCTATATATAGGCTGAGCTATTTAACTTGACTATTTAAAATATTTGTTACTTTTAATTATAACGATTAATTTTTGTTCTAATCTTCCTTATAATAATTCGTGATAATGAGTTCAAGTATTAGATGTTCCTTTATTTGGATAGATAATACGAACAAGATTAGGTATGTTAAGAAAATTATTACTCACTAGACAATTTCAAGTGTAACATAGTACTTACTTGATTTAATAATTGATCGGATTCTACTTCCTCAGGTATGACTGTAGTTTCTTCCGCTATTCGATTGCTGTGTAGATCTTTAAGATTATCGGCTTTGTCGCTAAATTCATTCATAATAACGCGCGGTGGTACAGATGATTGATACCCGGAAGTTCTTCTTCGATAAGTCTCAGTTTCACTAAGTTGTCTGCGAAAATTACAAATAACATATACACTAACTTATCTTTTATGGCATCTCAAAGAGAACTGAATCGTTACTACATTCGTTTCAGTTTTTATAACTATAAAAACACCGCGGAATTTAAGGTGAATCGGATATTTCTCATTTTTCAAATTTTTACTTATAAAACGAAGACTTTTAAGCCTTTTTAAATTTTTGTATACTGATATTGAAGCTGAATGTGTATTAATAACAAATTTATGAAAAGAAAGTTAATTCTATGTTTTAACTATCAGTTTTTCGCTGTTAAATCTGAACTGATCCAATTCGCCTCGGCCTACCCTATATTAAAGCGGGACAATACGTTTTGAATACTACTGTATGGTTTATTTTTTCATAAAGATCTCTCAGACGAAAGTTCTAAATGTAATTGAAATCAGTTACAAATAGAATTATTTTCAAATATTTTTCACAAATTAAATGAGCGCAGTGTATACAAATTTCGGAAATAAGAAACAAAATGGTTTTCATGACAATTCTTAATAATGTAATATAATAAATTAATAATTTAATAAATTAAAATTGCGTCATGAATAAACAATTTTATTCTTTGTCTTAGTTATTAACTCAGCTATTATTATCTTTAGAAACCTAACATTATTCTTTATATAGGAACCTTCGCAGATAAATAAAATTATTGGTTACATTATACATGCTCTTAGTGTTTACTAATATTTATCTATAATAACATCTAATATTTAATAATTATTATTACCGTTATAGTATTTAATATTTATTTAACATTTACCTAGTAACATTTTTCATCGACGACCCTCTACTAAAACTGGATTGTCTACTTATTAATGATGTCCTCCGACTGGGAATTCTAGAAACATCTTCCTTCTTTGATACTCTTGATGCAATTGATGCAGTTGAAGTATTTTTTCTAGAAAACCTATATTGTTTTTTCGTTTTAACTTTTTATTAGAATATTACTACATGAAATCGCATTTTGTTACATTCATGCCTAGCATTCTTTAAAAAATTTGATTTGCCTAACCATACAGCTATTTATAAACAGGTACAAAGAACACTACTAAAAACAGTCTTACAATAATACTTTGACAAAGTAACAACTTAAATCTAGTTTTTCGCTTCGCAACGATATAATGAGTTTTATATCTAAATATAGTTTTGCTCCTTAACCGTTTGTTTACCAGCGATTTTAAAAAAAACACGGTCGAAAAAAGCCGATCAGCGCAATAGCGCTTTCTGAATGGGATGCGAAAAGATCCAAGCGGCGCGATTGCGCTCCTTTTATTTCATGTCGAGAAAAGAATATTATATAAAGAATGCATATATAATTCTTCCTGAATAAATAATAGGACAATATTTAGTTGAAGTATCATTTACAGCAAAAATAACTTATCCACAATCTTTAGGCGCATACGATTCATAATTTTATTTATTTTTATTTTATTTTATTTCTCTGAAAAGTTGAGCGCGTTTCGCCAGATTGTGAGTACGCTGTCTGTTCGTATCGTTTAAATGCGCTGGGTTTTTTCGACCTGAAATCTGAAGAGCGCAAAATTGGCGCGTGGAACTCAAACGGTTAAGCTTTTATGGTTCTCATCGAGGTACATATATGGATCTATCACAGGTAAAAAAAATTACAAAAAAACCGTTCCACAGGTTGACGCCAGTGATATTTTTAGTGGTTAACTGGGATGCCAATATTGTTTTTGGAATATTTTTTATTCGAAACATTTAATTTTAAGAATGATTAATTATTGTTTTTTAGTATTAAAGAAACATGCTCCGATCGCAATGAGCGGCATTGATCACAGAAACTATTGGGGGTTATTCGGCGCTAGCGAAAGGTACCGAAATATTCCAATCGAAGTGAGTAGCAGTAAACCTGTTAACAATATCTTACAAGAAAAGATATCGAACCCGGAAATTCAAAAAATTATGAATCTTCGTGTATAAGTAGAGTAAGTTAAGACTAATACATTGCAACTTTTTTCGTGTCGAATTTTACTTTAAGAAGGTGAAACCGCCTCCTGAAAATAATGCAAATCTTTGTTTCACGTTTATAAAATTGTAAAATAAGATTTTTCAAAAAGTTATGTTATTTTCAAAATTCTGAAAATTTTCATTTTACCATTTTATAAACGTGAAAGAACATTACTTGTTTTGTTTCAACTTTGTTTCGATATCTCTTACTGTTCTCAAGATAATCCTCGGGGAGGAAAAATTTGCACTTTTTTCAAGGGGTGGTTTCACCCCTTCAAAGTGAAATTCAGCATAAAAAAAATTACAATGTATTAGGCTTAACTTAGTCCACTTACAAACAAAGTTTCATAATTTGTAGAATTTCCGGGTTCGATACCTTCCTTTCTTAGTAATTCATATCTACCATCCATCATTAGCTCGTGACATCATGAGTATATCAGGACCCATTACGTCTATACCGGAAGCACCATCTTCTTCATCGTCATAATACAAATACTGACTTCCGAATTTCTCCGTCGCCAGGCTTAAGGCACCATAACTGTATCGCCTACTTTCAGAAACGTTTGCTAAAGCTTTAGCTTCATAGGTATTTTGTTTATTTTGATCTGGTGGCTCTGTATTCACCTGGAAAAGTTACAGTTACTATAGACAAATAAGTTTTATAATATACAGTGTTTTTCCTTTGTATATTAAAAATAGTATACAATATTTCGTAAATATAGTATAATATATAAATAGTAAATATAGATAAAAATGAAAGAGAATGCAGCAGAACATATCAAAATTTTATATTTACAATTTCTTTCCAGAAATAATTTTTAGAAGAAATGATATTTTCTTGGATAGTATTATAGAAAAGTGGTTGTCAAAACGACTTTGGCAATAGAAAATTTTGATAACATTGGTAAACACAATTTTAGTAGCATTTACTAGCATAATAATAAAATAACTTAATAATAACAAATAATATTATTTTATAAAAAAATTTACTTTGAAATTTATCAGAAAGCCACCACCTATAAACAAGATGATTATTAAAACGCTGTGGTATTTCCAACAGACGTTTTAGGTGATTAAAATAACTGCTCCATTCTCTATCTCTTATTGTTTATAGCAAAATTATACCTTTACGTATGTTGACGAGTCTTTACACTCCAAGTCACCATTATTACTTAACTGATTTGTATTTCGTTTCTTTTTAATATGTCGGGACACCGGTTGCAGCAAAAGAGTACATGCGACTGCGTTAAATGTAAGACCACCAATAATAAGGGTAGTGCCTTCGACGTCATATTTAGGCATCAATAATGTAATTATCTAAAAATTAAGAAGATCTTTAAATATTTCCTTTGGATTTGTATTCTCTTATACAGTGAACTTTGGATAATTGCAACGTCGTCATTCCCATCACAACCCTTCTCAGATTCCTTTCGACACACCATGACGCCCGACGACCGGCCGTAACTGAATGATGCAACATGATCTAAATTATTGTCGAATTCGACGATTTTAACGTCTTGTTCTTCCCTATTCGCAGTCATTTTCTATCTCCGAAACTTCAATTACTTATTATGAAAGTACAGTGCGTTACTGACGTGAGCCAAACCGGCCTGTGACTTAAAAGTGAAGGGGAGTAAGAGGAGACGTCCACTCGTGGCGCTCAGCCCGATAGTAATGGCGGAATTAGTTTCAGCATTACTGGCCGAGCCGCGAGTTAAGGTAGAGCGTGTTGCTGAATCCCCTAGACCCTCTTCTCTTTTGAGTAAGTAATTATGATCGCAATTCTATCGTCTTTGATGTCATTTCAATCAGAAAAACATAGGAAACATGACGGTGACAGTTACATTCATCAAAAATCAAAAATTAAAAAGTTTGATTTTTAAATTAAGTTTGATTTTCGACTCTCAATCTTTCTTTTTCCTTCATTCGCGTTGTTCTTTTCTATGTGCTTTATGCTAAAATCTTAGTTTCTTGGGGTTGAATCGACTCTACCTTTTTGTTTCGCGGCGCGACTTCTAGAAAGCATCTCAATACTCTCAATGCTTTGCAGCTCATTGAGATAAATCAAACATTGAGATTTCCAATTTTCAGTGTGACGGAGTGCAGCCTGAACTGGAAATTTCCTGCATCTCTAGTAGCCCGAAGAACAAAACCCTTTCTTTGTAACATACAAAAAATCGGCTACTATTTGCATTATCTTTCAAACATTATATTCGTTTATGTTTAAAACGGGCGCGACAAAATGATAGGACATCTTGAAGAAAAATAATAATTTAATGTAAAAACAAGAATTTTATACGAATTTTAATAATGTGTACATTTCCCTTTTCTTTCTATGACTGCTAATAGTCTTTTCGGTAGGCTTTTGTATAACTTTTTTGGAAATTTTTTTAGAAATTGAATTCCACCCTTCCTCTATAGCAATTTTTAATTCTTGTAGGGAATTAGATTGTTTGGCACCGCGATATACAGTGACTCACGAAAGTATTTGAACACTTACCATGAAATACTTTATTAACTATAATAAGTATATTATACAACTCCTACTGAAATATTATAAACATTGTAAGAAGGTATGACTCTCTAGATGATATAGGTAAAGTTTGAAGAAACTCGAAAGATATATACAATAGTTATAAATTATTCCTTATATATACCAAATATTTGCAAATATCACTGAATTTCAGAAACACGGAAAATCCGGTAGTGTCCTATCATTTTGTCGCGGAGTGCAGTCTTAAATATCGCTTACAAGCAGTCACGAGTCTAACGAGCAGTCTCATACAGTCTCAAACAGTCTTACACAAGCAAACTCTCGCATCCTCAACCAACTCAATACTTGCTCAATACTTGCAATACTAAACACAACTCAATATCTGTAATTCGACTCAATAACAGTATCGATAATAATTGAAATACAGATTTACGATCTCCGTTGATCCGGACCCATTTGTTCAACGTACAACACACTTCATAATTGCAACATTCGGGTTGCGATGGGTGTTGCAATTATTCATTGTTCACTGTATCTATGTTTTTGTCTTATATTTTTTAAACATTCATTTATATTTATTCGGTATGTATCGTTGAATGCCAATATTTCGACTTATTAATTATTCTTATTTGATGTACAATAACCTGCGGTAGTATAATAGGACCCAGTCCCGTACAGGTCCAACTGAAACCCGTTGCTACTCTCCTTTTCTGTTTAAAGTAAGTGTTTAAAGCTAATGCATTCGATGACAATGTTATACCGACTCCGATACCTGAAATTTAAAGACATACAATATATGTTCTATTAGAATTTCATAAAAATGAAGGAAAACATTTATACGAAGTAGAATAATCGTAACATTACCATATAAAACGGAAAAGAAAACTATGAGCCCGGCGAAAGTTTTCATAGTTGACAATATTGTAACCGACGTAGCGCAGATAAGAGCACCCACGAAGGCTACCTGTCTGAAACTAAACTTCCTAAACAGTGGGCCATTTATTAATCCTGGAACATTAAAACATCTGGTTAAAATAGCATTTATATTATTTTATGTATTTTATTTATTTATTTATTTATTTATTTATTTATTTATTTATTTATTTATTTATTTATTTATTTATTTATTTATTGTTTTGAATAAAAGATAATAAAATAATGTGTTTCAAAATAAGTCAAGGGAAAACTGGTGTAACAATATATTATATCATTTCATTTATAATATACTAGAGAATTATTTTTTGCAAGAAATGTTTGCATAGTTTTTATAGGAACGATACTATCCTATAGGGTACATTGAAGCAAATCGGATCACAGGATGAATCGAAATAAGAATCCACATTTGTTATATCACAAATTATATTTTCCATTCTTTGTTTCTTATTTAAAAAGAAACTTTAAAAGTTATTTTCATTTTTACTAATAATGCTTAAGTAGTTTTTTCCTTTACTATAAAACAGAATATGATATAATATACCTCGATCTAACTTATGATCGAATTTTAAATACTTTTTCATTTTTTGTAATTAACGTTGAGTTAGCTTTATTTCTTTTTTGTCTAACAAAATATTATTCGATTTACATCAGTTCATTCTATTGTACCTAACAATGTCCGTCGCATCTCGTACTACCTGTATTCCCTCAATATTACCTAACAACCGACTTAACCGTTTGCTTTACTAAAGACACACGTCCATTTGAAAGTAAAACTATCGCGAGTTACTCTTGACAGCAACTTTTGCATCTAAATACCGCGTTGAAAGCGACTATCCGAGAACATTGTCAGTTTGTCAAGCTCATCGTCACTATCAGGGCAGTGTCCACTTACAATAAATGCTTTCGACAGCAATTCGCCATAGTTTTACTCTGAAATACTCAACTAGACCTAAGATATAGATGCACTAGCTAGAAACTTGCAACATCTTTTCTAACAGGGACTGTTATGACTAGATAACAAACTTTGATGCAAATTCAAATTTTTGAAAATATAATTTCAAAAATAGAATTAGGATGGAAAATGGTTGTTCTCATTGAATGGGACATTTCTAAATTCTTATGCCCCTGCATCATCTCTCTCAAAGGACGCTTCAGTCCACTGTCCGCACCACCGAAAAGGGTGCCATAAAAAGTCTACGCGGGAGACGGCAACTAGCCCTGGTGTTTTGGAGACAACGCATAGGTTTTTCCCGGAGCCGCGGAAGGAATAACGGAATCGGCCTGCCGAGAGAAATCGGTCGATTTTCCAAAAAACGGCAGCATTCTAGTTGCAGTCCTCGCGCGGGACACTTCGCGGTTTTACACTCGTACCAGCGTCATAAGAGCGGAGTTGTTCGTAGCGTTTAAAATATAATGCTACAAATGTTATAAGAAGCAGCACACTTTGGATATTTCATATATGTGGGATGAGTGGTTCGTTATGCGTGCGTGCGGGCGACCGGTATGTTTCGGAAAACTCGAGTGCCTGGAGAAGCGCGAAAGAAAGCGTGCGTGCGTGCGGCCGGTACCATTTCGCGTCTGGACAGCACCGAGATGTTTGGGAAGTAGAGTGACTGCGTTTAGAAAATCTTGAGTGACTGAAAGAATGCGACAAAGTGTGCTTCGAACGGAGCGACTGGATCGGATTGTAAGAAAAGCGTGTACGTGACCGCGTGAATTTTAGCTATGAACGAAAGGTGCGAGCGAGGAGGGTACAGGTGGAAGAAAGAAAAAATGTATGGGGTGTGCTTTAGCACTATTCCTACCACGACCGGTCTTTAGTACAACTTATATTTTTTAATATAGAATAAAGATACTAGCCAATTTGACAGTATAAAAATATAGTTTCTTTTATTCAGAAGTATATAATGTCTTACGTTTCGTTGGGTCGACGCTTGGTCGCGACTCGAATGTTTTCGCGATTTTCCGTTGACCGCACGTGTGATGCCCGCCAAATTAATGCACCTGGATCCGTCGGTGGAGCAGTGGTTGCGTTTTGGCGATACGTTTGTGTTCGGAACGAATGATTTGAATGGGCGACTTTACCCTTAAACGTTTCGGTAGCGAGATTTTTGTGAACGAGTGTTTCGAGCGAGTGTTCGAATCCGGAACGATGATTCGAGTGTGTTCGGTAGTACGTTTTGTTTGCGAGGCCGGGCCCCGGATTAACTGTCCCGGACGCTCTATCGTGTTTTCGCCCGTGTCATAAACTAGACCCGTGTAGCGACGTGCCGCGGTCCTCGGTGTTTGAACCGGCCCTTGTTTCGCGACGGAACATAATGTACATTTCCTTCGTTTTCACCGCATTTTTTACAAATAGGCTTCTCGATTGTACATTTTCCACATACGTACTGTTTACATTTTAGACAGATTTTGTTAGTCTTATTGTCTTTGCAATATCTTATCTGGCATGTTTTCCATTCACGTGAACCTGTACTTGTATTTATAACGGGTGTTGGTTGATCTTCTTTGCCTAGCTATAGCACTTTTTGATATTCGATGGCAAGTTCTTCTGCCAGTCGAAATAAAAATTCTTGTCTCGAAATTCCTTCTCCCGTGGTTTCTTTATATAGAACCCATGCATTTATCCCGACTAAATTTAGCATATTGGAAAATACCTGTAAAGGACATCTCCGACATTTAGATTTTACCGATTTTACCGAGGCCGATAGGCGAGCGAGAACTGTAAACACTTGCAAGTGCCGTAAAGCAGTCCCTGGAAGGCACTTTTCGGCTAAAATCATATCACAACTGAATTACCTTTCGTTTGTAACGACTTTATAGTTTCCGAATTGAGTCTTTGAGAGTATACTATTACAAAAAGATATAAATCGTTCTACCGGTCAAATGACCGGTCGTGGTAGGTAAGACAGACTACAAATTTTTCTCAGAAAACAAACAATAAAAAAAGAAGTAAATATTGAGAAATGTATTATACGTATATTTGAGGAAAAGTCGTGAAGTTTAAAGGCGAATCAATTACGTTGCATACAGGAAATTCTAATCGAAATTTTAAAAACGGTCATTTGACCGGTCGTGGTAGGAACAGTATTAAAAGCAAGTGGGAATGTGTGGCCGAGAGACTTTTGTGCGAGACTTTGAGGACGGACTTCTGTGTGCGATCAGCGAACGAGCGGTTGAGTGCGCGTTTGGGGAGAGAATCAAGAGCAAGCGTGTAGATATCAGTCATAATACATTTAATATTATAATCAGCGAAAGTGTTAATAGAAAGTCAATGTCCCCGTTGCCCAAAGACTGATCCCTACAAATTTGGGAACTCGTTCGGGATAAATGGTATCCTCTGCATGTATTTATTTCATATATTTAGATTTTATAAATTAGTAACAATACATAATGAGTACAATGCAATCGGATGTCAAGTGTGCCTCGATATCGCAAAAGGTCATCAGTGTGTTTTTTCATCGGAGAATCAAACAGCCGACCAAGCACCAGTATCTGTCTAGGCTGAGGCCGAGACATCTCATCTCATTTCCCACCCTGACCTCGAGGTCGTTCAGAACTAGAAGAGAGAGCCCTGACCCCGAGACTACTTATAAAATAAACCATAAAAGCCTCCATACATGTTGAAACATGCGGTAGGTAATTCGGCATCGTTAAATCGATGGGGTTGAGTCTTTTTCACTTTTTGTTTGAATGCAGCATGTATCATGAAACTTTGAAAGACTCAAACTCATCGCTGTAAAGGCCCCCATACACGTTGAAACCTGCGGCGATGCAGGCATCGCTACAACTGATGGGTTTGAGTCTTCTAAAGTTTCATGATACATGTTGCGCTCAAACAAAAAATGAAAAAGGCTCAAACCCATCGCTAACGATGCCTGCATTGCCGCATGTTTCAGCGTGTATGGGAGCCTTAAGATCTTGATCTTGTCCGATGACACTAATAACCTCAACATCTGTACATATTCTCCACACTGATTTCTATAAAATAGTTGGTCCTAGGACTGTTAACCTTTTAATGAGAAATGACAGTTTAATTCGTCATTCTAGTTATTTTCTATGGTACGATAATGCTTCAAAGCAAGTTAAAATATCAACACCAACCAACACCACCCTTGATTATTTAAAAATCTTCTAAATAATGATATTTGATTATTTGAAGGAATTTCTATATTTTAAATAATGCTACCTAACGCGGCGGTATTCACCAAGACAAACGTGCAATAATAATAACGCAATTCAATTAAATAATTCGATATTATATTTTTCTCATTTTATGTATATTGCTGAGAAATAAATGGAAGCATTAATGTTCAAAATAATTTCGAAAATAAACATGTTGATGGTTCCAGCAATTATGAAATAAGATCTAAACCTATTTTGACAGGTATGATAACTCTAGTGGTAATAGCAGGGAACTTCCTTTCACAGGATACTTCGAGATTCTATATTCAAACTGTGATATAAAATAGTGGATTAAATTAGTTCTATAAACTATAAATTATGGTGCTGTATAAATCATCAGACAAAATAAAAATTTATATTTTAATATATATAATCAATAGAGAAACAATAATTTTATGTAATTTATTGTCATCTTTTTTATTTTAATACCGTGATATTTTTTATAATATTATTTATCAAATTTCATATTATTGTAATTGTTTATGACCAAGAGAAAATGCCATTTACCATTAAATTGTTTATAACATTTCCCTTGTTGTCCGATTTTCCCTACATTCGAGGATTTACAATCTACATTGACCAAATAATGGTAATTGTTGCACATGTAAATATGTACAGCCATTTTCTGATGTAACGCAGTTACCATTAATGCCAGTGAAATAATGGTTAATGAATAAGTCCGTGATAAAACAAAATTATTGGCAGCAGATTGAGATAAGGCTGTGCTCCCTTTTTGAAGCGTTCGACGCGACGTTTTATCAGTTCGTATCACACAGTTACATCTGGCGATAATAGACACTGTCATAAATGTACATAGCGCAAGTGAAAAAAGAAGTAAAGCTGCATATAACGGACAAATGGAAGAACGACTTACCTATGCAAGAAGTTACAGCGTAATTTATATTTATTATCGTTGTCGTTTGAGACGTACTGATACCCAACTCCGCGAGTTTATCTCTGAATACTAATCCAAAGGATTGTAACATTGATAATATACAAAACTGAAAAAAGGTGTAAACATTGAAACACGTTTGTTACAACGATAATAATGCAACTATTTTAAACGAAGTATTTAAAAATACTAAAATATTTGTTTCCAAATAGAACTGTCTATTTCTATCTTTTTTCTATGTACTAATTTTGAAAGAATTCGAATTGAATGTCATTCTAAAGGACTAAATTTTGTATTACTGTTTAAAGTAATTATTTTGTGCTTTGTTAAAAAAAAATTGAAAGTCAAAAACGCATCAAATGTTCCAATGTTTAAATTCCAAAACTTTTGATAGACACCTATAAATAGTATAAAAATACTATACAAATTTTTAGATATTCTATGTTCTCAAAGTGTCCATATAAAATAAATTTCATTCAACTGAAAGAGAAAAAAATATTTTTAATTGTGTAATTAGCTTGATTTTACGTTAAAAAGTGTTTGTTAAATCATTTTAAATAGGAAATTTTCAAGAAAGAAATTTGTGTCATACCAAAATCGATCTGGTTCAAGCGTCTAAATAAAGAAATATTTTAAAGAAAATATTAAACGTAAGCTATGAAAATGTCATCTGTATATAAAGTATTATACATCTATAAAATGGTAGATAATCTCGTTAAAAGTTCTTTAAACTTACATTTGAAAATCCAGCGGCTAATACAATGATCCAACCCCAACCGCCATCAGGCGGGTCAAAATTTTCGCTCGAACTTTGTTCACTTTCCTTTTTCTCCTTTGCTTGTACCTCATTCTCATTAATTTTTATTTCGTTTTGCTTGACTGACATGATCGAATCTCATTGACTGAAATTTTAGATCGTCGTGTGACTTTGTACCGGAACACCACTTAACGCGATTAATCCTTCAAGATATCGAACTGTGAGAAAGAAACACTATGACTCACATAAAAAATATGATATTATAATTATCTCGGTTCTAATCAACAACCGTTGCTCTTCCCATCTTATGTAAACAAAAAGACTTTCAACGTAGCATGAACATTTTTAAGTTTCTTAGTGCTATTTAGAACCACAACAACTATCTGTCGCATCCTCGCTTAACAAACACACTATCTGATCGCTATTATTTTCGTCGCATAAGTTACACACTCGAAGTAATTACTTCACTTGCCGAAGTCTTATACGAAAACATAGCAAGACGACGATAATAATATTTACATATAAACTTTCATTTTAGAAAGCCGTCAACTTTCGCTGGAAATAGCTGGAGTAATTACGACGCGATCCGTTGCACTAGGACAATAGTTCACGGGTTTCCTCGAAATGAGTGAAACGGGAAACAGGTAAGAACGTCCGAAAACTCCGAAAATGTTTGTAGTCAGCCGCACCGTTGGCGTTTACCGCGCGAAGAGATACACTGGCGTAACCACTAGGTTTCGATGTGTATTATATACACCTTGGATATGAACGGACTGGCACTCAGTGGTATCTCGGATTAACGGAGTTTGGCAACATTCCTTCATCGTCTCATGATTGTATATTACACACGTTGTATTATTCAACGAACCACATTAATGCAAAATCTTGACTATATATAGTCAAGTGATGAATGTATAAAAGAAATCATTGTTTAAAAACTGTACACAACAAATAACTTACAACTGTGAAATGTAACATTTCGCGCAATAGAAAATGAGAATATGTAACGGTCATATACTGATTCCGATCTTTTCTTTATTCGAACACTTTAATTGTAACTGATTTGACACTTATTAGTAAGGAAACAGATTGGTTTAGTCTGTATTGCATAGCATGTTTTCTGTGTAGAATATGCAGTACACACAAATTTTGTAACATTGAAACATTGATAACTACGCGAGAGTTCCTCTGTTCCGTTTGCGATTATATGCGTTTGGTGTGTTCATATTAATGAAGTGTATGGAATCAGTGGAATATATAAATAATAATCTATAAAATACATGTTTAGCGTCTTTTTCGAAAAAACTTGTTCACTTCACAGTTTTCATAATTAACAAAGATTAGGGACAGAATCCCTAGTCGGTTCTTGGAAAAAAACAGTCTTCTGAGCTCTTAAATCGTAAAATAGAACGCATTCACATAAATTGGCTATTATATTTGAAAGCTATTATCGTTGCGCGACGCTCTAATTGTTTCTTAAACATTTAAAATTTATCGGATACACACTCGAGTAATAATAACAGTACCGACTATTTTATCATGTGTAAGTGTACGTATATTGTATCATGAAATAATATAAATATATTAATATATTTTTTATTTAATGATTTATTGATAAGATTATTTAATAATAGGACAAGCAGGATATTCTATGATTAACATGTACCTGTAATTATTCACATTTGTAACATAAAAATATAGGTATCAAATCGAGTGAACAAACAAAATCACAGGTAGACGAAAATATAATTTATTTCATGTTCAAATTACAAATGAAGGATTCTTTAATCATAAAAAATGTATTCGAAAGATTATTATAAAATATAAACTATTTAATTTTTAAAGACCAATAAACTATGCTGATCATCTGTTTGCAATTAACTAATTCTGTAAAAGTTGTCACATACATTGTTCACTTATTACATGAAATATGGTATTAATATATAATAATACACAATAAAGTAAGTACAGAAGTGAAAATTTGTTTCTTTTACAAATTTTTCACATTTTCAATGAATAAACATCACGTCCGTTTATGTAAACTGCATAATAAAATAGATTACACATTAACACTGTATTGCATATGTGCAGTAGATTAAAATCTCAATATTTATGTTAAAAATTGTCTTGACAAAAAATCAAACATGAATTTAATACAGAATAGGAACAAACGTATAAAGAAATCAATGGAGAAGAATCATAAATTGTGATATACAATATTCTAAATATTTCTTAATTCTACAATCAAAAAATGTCAAAAATTCTGTAAACAAATATTTCAGCTACTACACACCTTAAAAAATAGTTTTTATTTATGTATTGTTTATGTACATTTTTGCAATATATTATTAACAAAATACATAATGACTATACAATGAAAATTAGGTTTAAGATACATGCATTTATAATATTTTCAAATGTATAAGAATTATAAATACACAAACTACACACATCATTGTTTAAGACTCTCTGTATGTTTTAGCTCATCTATTAAGTGCAATAATTGTGCACGTTTCTTAGAAACGAAACTTTTAGTTTGACTGTAGTCACATCCACTTACTCTCCCAGTTTTCAGAACATATTCTGTAATTATATCTGTTAAGCACAAAACATAAAGTCCACAGTCATATCCATTGTCTTGTTGTGGACAATTTGGCTCCAGAAATTTCTTGTTAGGCTCATCGTTGCCAAGCATATAATTCAGTACATTCCTTGCAAATTTTGCAGCATAATTGCAACCTTTACATGAATCAAAATGGTAACATGTTTTTTCTTCCTTGCAATATAATAATAAACTCCAATGTGATCCTCCTGCTGATTCTCTACTCTCGCAATTATTTAAAGGAAAGAATACACACTTGCATTCTAATGCATTAAGAGAATCCAAGAAGATATTATATTGAGATGGTTCAGTCAGTTTCAACAATTGTGTTAGTTCTGGGCTAAGAAAGCATATATCTTTTTTTTCATTTTTATTAATTGTGACATCCAAATATTCAAAATAAAATCCTATTATAACATCGTTCAACCATTGTGTTCCTTGTAATAATGCTACATCGCTTCTTCTAAGCACACAATCATAATAACATAAAACAATTTCATCTGAACTTTTTTTTGCCATATTACCCAATATCATACATAAATGTCCATTAATTGCGTAGAATCTACAGTAATATGTAACTTAAGCTGACATTGCCCAATATGTGTGAACCCTTAATACCTTGAAATATATCATTCTTATTTTTGTTAAACATGTAGATACATTTGGTTCATAGCAGCATTTCAATGAAAATGGTACATACTTTGCAGTATTTTTAGAACCTGAACCGTTAAAACAATTTATCTTAAATTAAACATAATAATAATACTCTTAAACAGAAAGTGAATAGAACTTCGAAACATTTTCACAAAACTATACATTTTATCAAACATGTATTAAAAGTATAAGAGTATATACATCTATACAATAATATTTAAAACATTTAATGTATACTTACAATATGATCAACAAAATATGATTTGTTTATTTATATTCGTCATTTAACACTGATGTAAATACAGGTAAACAAATTTTTTCTTTTTATATTAATAAACTCTAATACAATCCTCTTCGTCTTTCACTATTATCGAAATTGATTAATATTATTTCGTCAGAAAATTGACTTTTTTTATTTTTAAACAAGACGATTACAGTATCAATTTTGATTATTTTAAATCAGTCGTAAATTCGAATCCTCTGATAAAGCATAAACGTGGTAAATCCATACAAGAAAATATTGACTCATAATTTAACAATATTTCCACGCCATCTTACAATGAAACGAGGAACTGAATCCTCTTAAATAGATTTACCGCTAAATTCAAACATACGTGAATCGAAAAGAAAAATATTGTATTCCGGATTTTAGAATTATATAAGATATATTTATTTTCGTTTACTCTGTGTCATGAATAATGTACCCAAGATGATGAATTGTTAAAGATAATGCCCCAATAGTCTGATCGTCATAAAGAAAATGAAATTAATTACGCCTACATCAATTTACAATTGAAGATAATTAACTTTCTTCGAATATTTAAATTAATAAACATATAGTTTTGATTTTTAAAATCACTGTCTTTGAGTGACGATAATTTCCATTTTAGGCGGCGATGTAAGGAAACCGTCGATTCCGTGGAGTTCAGGTTTTGGGTGCTTTTCTGGTAACGTAAAATGGAGTTTTTGCAAAAGACATGCTATAAAAAGAAAAACTGTATTTCTTGCCATCGTTTCACCCAGACATTTTCTGCGACCTATAAAAAAATATGTAAAGAATAGACAACAATCAAAGAAAATTATATAATATAATAATAAAATTATGTATATTTGTATACTTTGTTCAACTCACTTCTAATTACCCTAATCAATTTTCCATTTGTTACAATACCTTATTTTTAAACACTTTTATTTAATTGAATAGTAAATATATACCTACATTTCCCATACTTCAAGTTGATTTCATGAACCAGGCTTAATTTTCATAAAAAATGTACCCCTTATTATTGTTGAATTCACAAACGAATAAATGATTACTACTTTATATAAGCTACTTTTAAAAATTATTATTTAACATTAATTAACACGTTAAGCGCCACGAAAATCTTGGTCGTTGTTTCGTAGAATTATTCTTTTTCAACAAAGACAAGCAGGGACAATTATTAATTATTTGACATTGCAATCCTTGCAGTACACTATTATTAACTTTGTTACGTTATTAAACATCTTTATTCGACATCGGTTATCTTGCATGTTACGATTGTTTTCAAGTAACTCAGAAGTGTCAGTCATCGGTGATTGACACGGCGCTTAACGTGTTAATTAAACTGTATTATTTAACTTAATAAAATGACCGATCATTTTGTAGCATATGTTATGTGATTGGCTCAGAATAAACAGTGTTACTAATAATATTAATTATTATTTTAATTATTAATAAAAATAGTATTAAATATATTAACGAAAGCTTTTTTTCTTGACGGCTCGAAAATAGCAATTAGACTATTAACGACCATTATTCTGTGCCACCCATAAAGAAAAGTAGATATTTACCTATTCCAAACGCCATAACCCACGGGTCGTCAACAAATTCTCCTTCCTTATTGATGAATCTTTCTGGCCGGAATACTTCTGGATCGCCCCAATGCTCTTTGTCCAAATGAACGCTTTTGAAGTTGGCTATTAATGTATAATTCCGTTTTATTTCGAAACCTAATAAATTCGAATCAGACAATGCTCGATGAGGAAGACTATTTGGAGCAACGTTCGCCAGTCTCGATACTTCAGTCAAGGCTGCATTCAGGTATGGTAATCTGTCAATAAATATGTTAATAATTTTACAAAACAGAAAAGTAATACAGCTTGAACAAGTATTCATTCGCTACGAAGTAGCGAGAATCGTTTTACTGTACGTTGAAAAATAATAAAAAATATAAAACAGTATCTTTTCAATCGATTTTAAACATGTCAGTGAACAATGAGAAAAACTGGAAACTTTATTACATTTTTATTTAAAAATATTTGTACGCGTACTGACAAAAGTTAAAGAACAAAAAGTTTGTATGAATATCATGTTCATTTATCATGTTAATTAATTAACGC